TCTGTTTTCCATCTCGTCTGTGCGGCCATCACACTCAGAGCAGCGCTCCGGATCCATGGGTTCCGAGGGACCCAGGTGTGTGGCACCAGCAGAAATCAGACTTCAGGCCTTGTGGCCCAGGAAAAGCCACATGCGTAGACCTAGATAACTTCGGGGGCAGCTCTGCCCACAGTTGGGTGCAGCCAGTGACTTTATTGACAGCGCACTTCTGACAGCTGTCACAGCTTCCTAGCATCAGTCTGCAGAGTCTTAGCCCAGAGAATTTCCACACAGCCATGGAGATGTACACACAATCGGCTCCCTGGTGCGGACCATGGCTCACAGCCTGGGGCTCCAGACACACTGGCCTGCCATCCACGCTTCCCTGAGTCTGTCCCCAAGCTCTGATATGATCTCATCACATGTCGGAAGAACAACAGAGCCATCCTGGAGGCTCTTGCAGGACCTGAGCCTTCCCTGGGCTTTCTAGAAGTCTCTATCTTCCTTTGTATTCCATCCCCGCCATCCTGTGCCCTGCAGCAAGGCCACCCTGGCGACACCATTAGCCCAAACTGCTCCTCTGCCGGCCACGTTAGCGGCCTGTGCCTTGCTCCTGGCAGCACGGGGATTTTCTCCCTCCCCGCAGATGGTGACCCTCACAGCACGCCTCACAGGGTGCAGCAGGACGCAAAGGCGGGGCGTCCCAGCAGACCAGCCCGAGGCAGCGTGCAGGTGCTGAGCATCCCCACGCACAGAGAGCCCCAGATGATTGGTGTCCCCTGGTAATGTGAAGCCAAAGGGTGGCGGAGGAGAGGAAGTGCTCAGGAGCCCCTATTTGGATGCTGTTTCTGATCCGCAAACCCTCACAGGGCCTAATGGTAACGCACATGTCTGTCTGTGAACACAGGTCCTCTTCACTTCTCCACCTACTCGATAGAAAAGTAAGAAAAGCACTCTGTATGCACCTGTGGGCGTGTTCCCTCCAACTCCAAGGGTAAAATCACTTGAACTCCCGGGGCGTAGGTTTTATTCAACACAGGGAGAAAAGGGGACGCACTCCTTCCTGCATGACACAGCAAAGAAACTCCTGCGCCAGAGGAGCCCACAGTGACTTAAACACTTCCCTGAAGGGCCCCAAGCCTCAGCCTGGACACAAGGGTCCTCCCCATGCAGCAGGTATGCTCCCAGGCTTTGCACCCTGAGGCAGGGCTCTTTGCACAGAAGTGCACCACAGCTCCCCAGTCCAGCTCGGCTAAACCTGCAGCCTTCTCCAGATGTCTACAACTGCCTTTTGCCCTGAAGTCTCCACGCCTCAGCTCTCCTCAGTACTCGGTGCATCCAGGACGAGCTTTAACTTTGGGCTCTCTTCGGATGCCCACTCTCATGATGCACAGCAAAATGCCCAGGAAAAGATAGAGCAGAACTGAGCCATGTTGTATTGCAAAAAATAAAGAACTCTTGGTTGTAGCCAAGCAGTTAGTTAGTGGTCAATAATCCAGATTCCTGTAGCTGTACAAATATGCTCAAATTTAATTTAGCAACCTAGAAGGATAAAGGGATGAGGCTAAGGAGCTTTGAAGTGTTGTATCACTCACATGGAAAGTTAGGTCCAGAAACAAATGACACCTTGCCTGAGTAACGAATAACAAATGGGCTACTCACAGGGCAATAAAAATCTCTGAGTCACCCCAGCGCTAACAAACTTATTTTTTAAATTAAGAAAAAAATCCTTATGCTTAGTATTTCTGGAAACGTTGCCTGCATACAGCAGGTGAGTCCCTAAAATCTAGAGTTTACAAACATACAAGTTTGTTGGGTTGTGAGTTCAGAAACTGGCACCTCGGCAAGACAAGGAGGGTTTCAAGGGCATTGTGTGTCTCACACAGTGGCTATGTGTTGTATTTCGTATGTGTGTGGCATTTTGCAAATGCCATGGCACTGACAAGAAGAAGAATCACAAGAACCATGTCTCAGCCACGTATCAAAATTCCAGCAGAAATCCGTGCAAGCTCTCTTGAAGTTTTGCTGGACCTCACTGAGGTCTTACGGAGACAAATGATTTCCATAGCACTGATTGTTCACTCCCACCATCCCCTCTGCCTTAAATGCTAAACAGAGACCGCGAATAAATTCATCGCATTTGGAGCAGCAGCATCCTGACTTGCAGGCAACCAGCGGACTTCAGACCTCCTGGCGTCTGATGTCTTACCCCCACATTTCTGTCCCCCGGGGTCCTTGCTCCTCCAGCTCAGGTCGGCAATTTCGTGTGCTATTATAAGAAACCTACATTAGTGTAATAGATTTCCCTAGGTGCCTGTGTGACAGAGTAAAACAATTTGAATTTCAGCAGAATATAACATGAGTTAAAACAGAAATTCCAAGACCCAGGAATTTAAAAATCAGATACTAAGCAACTTAAGCATCTCTAGAATAAATGTCTTCTAGAAGATTTTACTCAATCTTTATTGGGCGACTAGTGGCTTTTGTGTTTGTTCCTTTTTAGTTGTAAAGGCCTCTAAAAACTACTTGTAATAATGTATCATGTGCATGTGTCATATGCAAGCAGTTTGACCTGAAATTAAGGTGCTGCATGTTAATAATAATTTGGATTTATACAGTGCCAGTACCCTATAATTATCAAATAATCCCTTTTACCACTGAAAGGCAAATATCTTTTAATATCTAGAATTATATAATGAAAAGCTTTATTCATAGCATCTTGAATTTTCCATTCGGTTAATTTTTAAGCTTTCAGAAAAGGCCCACTCAGTTTCCACGGGTTGAAGCAGCCTGGGTTGGGATAAAGCCCTGCTTTCAAACAGCAGGGAGCGCATCCTGGGACCTGAGCTGACAGCGCCTTTGGAGTGAGCCCTGGACTCAGAGTCATGCACCAGCGGGCCATGGGCTGCCCAGGGACAGCAGGCATACAGAGGCCTGGGACTCACGGGCCCCGGCCCTTCCTCGGCCACCACCACGCCTCACCCCCAGACTCCAGCCGTGCAGAGACAACACCTGAGTCACCCCGAAGCAGCAGCTCTCAAGGTATGGACCAGGAATTCTGGGGTTCCTGCCTCCTCTGGGAGAGCCCTCTCAATCAAAACCAATGTTGATCTTACAAAGGCAGTGCTCTTATAAAGGATGTGGCTTGACCTTAAAAGATACTATTTTCTTCTTAGAACTGTGTCCTCTCCAAGCGTGTGGCAGTGTGATTCAGGGACTTCCCATCACAGAACAGATGCCAGTGGCCCTTTGCCAAGCCAGACACTGCGGAGGTGTGTGAGAGTTTCACTACTGCCAGTCTCCTCACGAGACATCTTTCTGCTTTGGAAAACAGAATTATTTTTCATAAAGAAAAATTATCCCTCAGGCTAATCCCTGGTAGGTTTATTACTTTGTAGTGAATGAATAAGTGAGCCTTGTTTACAATCTCTTCACTGTTAATTTCTAGTGTGGAAGCCACCCATAGATAGAACCAACATCAGCAGAGTCCTCCAGGCCCGTGGGGAGTCCTGCAGATCCAGGGGAGTTGTGAGAACAAAGTGTCCCAGAGCCCACAGAGCAGAGGGGCTCTGAGGAATCTCTGATTTTGCATCTCCATGGCTGTGAGATTGTGAGGGTCAAGGACTGAGCTACAGTGGACAGGTGGGGGGGAATGTAGGAACTGGGAAAATTAGCACCCTCCCTGCAGTCAGGTGCTCCCCTGTAGCCAGCAGCAAGTCCTCCTCCTTTAGGCAGCTATGATGTCCTCCACCCCGTGCCCTTCTCTGATCAGGACATTCTCTACCTAGTGACAACAGTGATCCCTGTACCCAAGAGGTCACCACACTGACCCTGGCCAGCAGCGTTACGGCACAAAGGATTGCCCTTGAGAATCTGAAGTGTTTTCAGCCCCTAGGAAATGTTTTTTTTTTATTTATGACAAAGTCTCAATGAGTAGTCCAGGTTGGCCTTGAACTCAGCATGTAGTCCAGACTAGCCTTAGACTCACCCAGGTTCTCCTGCCTCGGCTTCTCAGCTAGGATTACAGGTTTGTGCCACCAGCCCCGGGTCCTAGGGAATTTTTACAGGTGCATTTGTGATTGGCATGACTCGAAATTTGATTCATGGGTGCCAGCATGAACCTCATCCAATGGGAGGCAAGAGTCATTTTTCAATAAGGGGACATCTTCTTGATGAGAATCATGAAGAGCTGGAATCTGGCCCCGCCAGGCCACGCTGTGGTTCTCCACGTCCACGGGCACTCACGTGATTCCATGCATCCTCCGCACAACTGCTCAAGCCGGGGCCGTGGGATCAGACTGGGCTGTTTCCCACAGGACCCCTGTGACTCTGGTTACTGCCCACCTCCTGCTCCCCTACACCACTCTCCAAATTCTCAGTCCTGAACGGTAGTGTGATCTATTCTGGAGGTTGAGGCAGAAAGGTCACAAGCTCAAGGCCAGCTCACGGACGGAGATGAAGCCCAGGGTTGGGTTCTATCACTGCTACTGCCAGAAAAACTAAAAACATAAGTTCGTCCCACGACTTAGGACCTGCAGAGACATGGTGCGCCTGCACCCCCATGACTGTCATCTTTATCTGCTAGGGAGTCACTGCAGGGACTGAGACACAGGCCGGCCCAGGCCCCCGGACACTCTCCACCCAGGGTGAGCCAGGTCCCCACACATCCCCGCGCAGCACTTCACAGTTTGCAGAGCACCCATCTCATTTTGTCCTCACAACAACTCGGGCGGGTTCTCACCAACTCTAATGAAGGAAGCAGAGGACTATATTTGCATTGTAATTACCATGTTGCCCAAAACGGGCCTCTTCAGGGAGGGAAACTGCTCTTATCACCACATTTAGCGAGCTCTGTTTCCCTCAAGAAGCCAGACCCCGGTGCTGCTGTGCACTGCTAAAATCCACCCTCCGAGGAGGCACAGACGCAAATAGTAAGCCACCTGGGATGGAGGCATGAGCCACACCTGCTGCAGGGCCTGGCTGCAGATGGGGTGGGGGGCCGGGCTGTTCTACCCTCTTACCGTTTTCTCCTGATGTCTTGTCTTTTCCATTGGTTGCCCCAGTTCCTTGTCGCTAAAAAACATAAAGAAAGAAGGAACTGTCAGCCACACCTGGGATTACCTCGGTCTCTTTCCTCCCGCAGTAAATCCAGCACTGTGCTACTTTAGCTCAGAGAGGTAAAGCACACACCACCAGGATCCCCCAGCCCACAAAAGGCTGCGTCCCCGCAACGGCCTCCCCACTCCGTGGCCGCCACTGGCTGAGCACAGCTCACTGTCACAGGAAGCCAGACGGGGGACTGCTGCCCAGGGAGCGCAGCCCCAGGAAAAAGATAAAGGGACAGCCAAGGGTTTGTGCGGACCACAGAGGTCAGACTGTCACCTCTGTCAGCCACCATCACGCTGCTGCATTCCCATCGCAGTCCCTATGCCCAGGACTGAAGTCAGCTATACTCTCTGGTGCTGGCGTCAGAGCTTCTCACTCTGCGGAGCTGGTTTCTCTGTCACGGGGAGTTGGTGTGGGATCCTACCACGTCTCAGGTCTTTCGGTCCTCTTTCCCTCCTCTATCTCTCCCCTCCCTCCCTCTCTTATCCTCTTTCATCTCCCTGTCTCTAGTACCTGGTCTTTTCCTGCTGCTGTCACTGTCTTTGGTGTCATTGTGCTTTCTTTTGTTTTGGTTGCTGTCACTGCTGGTGCCAGAAGTAGGAGGAATTTTAGGGTGAGATTTGCATCCCTGAGTAAGATTCTGTGCGTGTGGTTTATATTGCACAGTTTCTGTTATGCGAGCAATCCAAAGTGTAAACTAAAGTGCGGGTTGAAAAGACAGACCTAGGCAACAAGAAGACAGACCTTTAGCAAGGGGAAGGGCACAAGGAATGAGGGAGGCAGGAGAGGAGAGGGGAAGGGGACCTAGAAGATCAAGGTGTGTGAGGCACAGGTACCAGCTCCCTGCAAGGAATGCCATCGTCATGCACGGAAGACACAGACTCGTAAAAATGAAGAGGAGAAAAGGCTCTGTGGACCCGAGGCGCAGTGCGGGGAGCATGTGAAAGCATGAAGTACCCTTCCTCCGAGCCTTACGTGGTCCTCCTGGCTAATCTAGTCCATGGTGGGAGAGGCCTTCAGTGACTCAGCTTGGGCCACGATCAGAAAATACAGCCTGAGCTGAAAAGAACTGAAGAGCTTGCAATGTTTCTCCGCTTTGACAGAAGAAAATGGAGCAAGGGTGGGGGGTTTGTCCAGTGTCCTGTTGTTGTCGGTGTGGGCCAAGACCAGAACCTGGGCTTCCTTGGCCTCACTGAGAATCATCCTTAGGTCATCACCACCGGAAAGTGTCCTGGGGGTATCGAGGACATGGAATACAGAGGACACGAAGGGGTACAGTGCCCTCGAAACCTTCATCTGGACCCAGGATTGTAGGCCACAAGTAATTGCACTAGAATAATAACCAGCTCCCTTGGATGCTCAACACCATCATGACAAGTTCTCCGATCATCAGTCACCCACTGTGACCAGAGCTCAGGCTGTGTGGAAAATCCAGCTTGCAGGTTCTGATCAGCGGAGGCTGACATTAGTAAAGTGACTGTCCTGTGGACACCAGCTGCCCTGCACTGTGACAACCGAGGGAGGCAAAGCAAAGTGCCCCACGTGTCACCATACGTACATCACCCCAGACCCTCCTAGTCCACAGCTGCCCAGGTCAGCCTTGCTCTGTCCCCTCTTCGAGGTGGACCCCTCAGAGCTGGAAGTCACAGAGATGTGGTTGTTGTCGCCACATTTAACTTAAGGTGCCTTGGAACTGGGACTCCTTGCCTGTGCTTGCAAGGAGGTGGGAGGTCACAGCCCTCCGTCAAACATCAACTGTTCTGTTTTGTCGGTTTCTTTTGGTTTTCCAGTGCTGGGGATGGAATCCAGGGCCTCCCACACACCAAGCAAGTGTTCTGAGCTGTGTCCCTAGGCCTTTTTACTTTTTATTTTGAGACAGTCTCACTAAGTTGCACAGTGCAACTCAAACATGGGATCCTTCCGTCTCAGCCTCTCGAGGAACTGGGATTCCAGGCATGGCCACCATGTCCAGCATCAACCGTTCTTGAAGACACTGCCATGTGGGTCCCCCGGCTTGACACCCTCTGTCTCCTAAAGAAGTCTGCAGCATTTGACATCTTCCTTATACCAGAAGACCTGTTTCTTGCAAGTAGTAGATTTGCAAGAAAAAGAATCTCTTCTAAGGGGACTTTCTACAAAATAAGGACAGACAGACCTCCGTCCTTGTCTCGAGGCCTCCTCTGTTCCAACCCAAAGCCACCAAGTTCAGGGCACTGGATGGAACCCTGATTACCACTGAGACTCAGCCGGCCGGTGACCCCCACAGCTCGAGGTGCCAGCTACTCCATTTCCAACCCTCCCCTGCATAATTCATAGACATGCAGGGCAGGGGAGGAGCAGTCTACAAAATAGGACAGAGTTTTACAGTAAAAGGAGGTCAAACTACTGTAAACAGAATGCATGAAACACACGCACAGCGCAGCCCAGGCCTGGCCCCGCTGCCTTTAAACGATGCCCAAAGCACGAAGACCTTCCAAAGGTGGTGAGGACCATCTTGTTCCCTCAAAGATCACCTTTTGGAAGCCAAAGGGAGACCAGAAGGAAATGAGCACGGCCAGAAGGGGGTCAACTTTCAAGGTGTCCAAGGTGGGGTTTCTGCGACAGATCACACGCGATGGAGGCAAAATGATGCAGACAGAGCTCGGGGTGCTGGTGTCCCAGGTTAGAAAGCTGTGCTGTCATCAGAAGCATCTTTTTTCAGAATTCTTGGCAATCTGGGGTGTTTGCAAGGCTGAGGAGAGCTGGGGGGGAGGGGTCCCCAGAGTCTGGTCTCTCACAGGGCACTGGGTCTCCCCAGAGCAGGAAGTGGGGTGGCACCAGGCTGGGTGTCCAGGGACGGCAGTGCACTGCTGAAGCTGGGCCCAAGGGCCCCATGGTCTCCCTGACTGTGACAGAGTCTCTGTGACAGAGTTTTCTTGTGACAGAGCAGCCTCCTTTTGCCAAGGCCCCCAAGGCACACAGAGGACTTTGCTTGGGCTCATACAGCTGGCAAGTGGCAGACCCAGCATGGGAAATCCAAAGACCAGGCTCCTGGCTTGCCCTCTCTGCTACTGAGTGGGAGAACCCCTCAGCGCTGCACCCGACTTCCCTCCAGCAGTAAGCAGACACAGACGAGGCAGAGACTCGGGCTGAGGTCTGCGTGATGTCATTAGCAGCCACAAGCTGAGAGTCTGCAGGACGTTTGGCTCATGGGAAGAGACAGTGACATCAACAGTGAAGGGTTTGACTGGAGAAATGATGTGAGACCTTTTATAAAGTTTAAACAGCACAAACGCCAGTACTGGCTTTGCTGAAATATACAGACGTGTGGGTGGGTGAATGGGCAAATGGATGGATGGATAGATGGATGGATGGATGGATGGATGGATGGATGGATGAATGAAATGGATGATGGATGAATTGATGGATGGATGAAATGGATGATGGATGAATGGATGGATGCATGAAATGGATGGGTAGATGAGTGTATGATGGTATATAAAGATGGATGGATGAAATGGATGGATAGATGGAGGAAATGGATGGATGGATGGATGGATGGATGGAGGAAATGGATGAATGGATGGATGGATGGGTAGATGGATGGAAGATAGATGATGGATGGATGGATGAAATGGATGATGGATGGATGGATAGATGAAATGGATGAGTATATGATTGTATATATGGATAGATGGATAGATGGATGGATGGATGGATGGATGGATGGATGGATGGGATGGGTGGATGGGATGGATGGATGGATGAAATGGATGGATGGATGGAGGAAATCAATGGATGGATGGGTGGATGAATGGATAGGTGGATGGATGGATGGATGGATGGATGGATGGATGAAATGGATGGATGGATGGAGGAAATCAATGGATGGATGGGTGGATGAATGGATAGATGGATGGCTGTATATTTACCTAGAGAGAAGTCTTCCTACTTTGTGCATACCCCAATATACTAAATTATACAGATGTCTGGACTGAATAACATGGTGGCATATTCACGGTATTATAGAATCATTTCTGAGAATTCCAGACTCTCACATTGTGAAATAAGGATAAGGAAGGACTGAATACAGAATTTTTAAATTACAGCTTGAAAGCCCTCTCTTACTCTTCTCCAGCCGGGCAGCAGGTACGGATGCTATGAAATCTATTGCAGGATGTGGAAAGAAGGGGGCTGGGCAGACCCCGGGCCAGGCGGGGCCCCCAGACCCTCAGTTCCCAGACACTCACTGACCGACGCCCAGGGCTCAGAGAGTGAAGCTTCTTTCCTCATCAACACTCCCTCATGAAAATGCAGCATGATAGAAGTCGGCAAACCCTCGATTAAAAAGAGCCTAAGTAGCAACTGGGCATGCGAAAGACCCTGGTGCCTCCAATGCCCTTTCTGCTACTTTACTTTGTGCCAAGTACCAATTAAAATGCAAGAGGGGTGTCTAAAGGCAGGATTTGTGAAGTAAATTTTCCTGACAGCCTCACTGTGCCAAGATCCGCTGAAAAATAACAGAGAATATGTTTCTGCCTGTATTTCTCAGGAAGCAGAGCCTGAGGCCGAGGTTGCTTGTGCTACAGGCAGTGTGGGGGGGACGGGAAGAGGCTGTAAGCAGGGGAGGAGCTCTGTGCCGGGGACCTTGTTAGGTCCACCACATACAGGTTCTAGGGTAGCCCCCAAAAGCTGCTTAGGTAGGGGAGGAAAGAGCCTGATGGGGGGAAGGCAGAGGCGGCATCTGCTGCTCCTGCCTCACGGATCCAAGGCAATGACAGAGCATCGATTGCCGATGCCTCAGGACTGAGCTGAGTCCCCACCCGGCATCTGCAGGGGTCAATAACGAAGCCTCGGGCCAGGCGGTGAAGGTGCAGGTGGAGGTGTTTGGTGTGAGCAGGTGACAGGCAGTCCCTAAGCTACTGCCTGAACCCTGGAATCCACGCCAAGCTGGCCACCCACACAAATCCTCCACCATAGGGTCTGCA